GCGATGTTACGTGTTATAATAAGTCTAAAGCTCTTTCATTGGTAGATGTACCATTCGAAAACTCGTAGGAAAGTACATCCATGATGCGAGGGGTGTTTTGCATATCTTCACTGACAAGGATGTTTATGACGTCATTCCAGCTATCGCATGATTGTTTTTGCTAACCTAGTCATCCAAAAGCGTTTAAATACCCGGATATAGTCTTTCAATGCCGATCATAAGAGTCAAAATTTATCGTTGTAAGCTGTATCAAGTGTATAAAGAGTGAAAGTTTCTAAAGAAACTGTGGTGCTGTGTCGGTGGGGGTAACAAGGTAATTGGTTATATCAACTAAAAGTTGAAATTGTAAATTGGCCGCCGTAACGAGTTAAAAAGCTGACGTTTCAAGCGTTCGCTGTTCGTGTGTAGTTGTTCTTCAAGTGTAGTTACGCATTCACAATGTTAGTATTCAGGCTTTCCATGAGAATGAAAAGCGTTAAACTTTGGAATATTTTAACCCTGCCCGTGCAGGTAAGAGCACTTTACATACTTGCTAAATGGCCTTCCGTAAGTTTTCAAACCATATTAAAGGACAACTGTAATGATGTTATTCGTACATTTTTCACATAGTTACCTTGCAGAAAATTTGGGATTGTGGTCGAAACTAAATGAATACAACTTACAATGGAAACCATTACGCTCTAACCTTTTCGAATGCGATACAACACACTAAATAAGATCAGATTTGGTCTCTTTAAAAACAATAGTTTCCATTGCGTATATTCAGAAATAAATGTCTTAGTTTTCAAATCAAAACAACGAAAAAGAAATCCACGGGTGAATACTATTTACAATTGTATCCATTTTCCTATAATCTTTGTTATTTCTATATTTCTCGAAAATGAGACCTGCTTTTTAAATTTTAAAATCTTCTCCATGATGTCCATTCAGAGATAAGTATCACATTAATTTTCATACACAAATGGCAACTTTTCTATACTTGGCAATCATCGCGTTTAGATCTATAGACTGCTGAAATTGAGATATATGTTATTCTTTTCAATGATTTGCAAAAAGATATTGTAAAACAGAAAGAGTAAAATAATTTTGAACAATAAACAAGAACTAAGTCGCACTGCGGGCGGAGACGGTAATCTGGACTAAATCTCCCTGCAGCACGCAAGTTCGTCAAGGGATCAAGGCGCCGCTCTATCATTTCTCGACGGAGCGTTTATGTAGGAGCTTAACTTTAGAGTTTTGAACTAACGCTTAAAGGCAAATCGCTTTTTACAAATGCTACGGAATTCCGTCTAAACCCTTGCGTCCAACATTTTGATAGGATTGCAATTAAATGACAATTAATTATATTTAACTGTTTTCTCAAAATAGCTTACGAAACGTAATTCTAAGTTAGAGGAAAAACAGCAACGACGTAGGTTTAATAAAACCATGATTAGTAAAACATTGATCCGGAGATAAAAAACGCATTCCTCCGTCTAGATAATGTGATCAGTTTCCTTTTAAATAACGTGGTTTTCATTGCTACATTGGACCAAAAATCTGTTTAAGGTCCACCAGCAATTTTAAGAAAAATACTGTATTCTTGAAATATGGGAAAGGAAAGGCAATGTATATCATGAAGATATAGATACAGTGTCAGATTTCAGGAACATTTACACCCTGATTAGTACTTTACGCAAGGGAAGCAGTACCATGCTAGTCAAGTATTGCATTACTGAGCCTTTCGAGATAATATCACACCACAGCTCGTTCTGTTTCAGACAAGGGCGAATAGGCTTAAGAGATGGGTGAAGGTCGCCGTATAGAACTGAAAAATAGCTAAAAACCAATTATTTGTTTAGACTGAGAGGAACCAGCCGGCTCTATCAGTGGAAGCATAACGGCAACAGTTAGACTTTCCTTTTTAGATACCTTAATCGTACGCTAGATGTTGTTCTGTTGCCGCAAATCCGACTTTGGTTGTTAATAACTTAAAGTTTCCTTTGAACCGGAGCCTACGCTGATTAATTAGCTTAGCTGTTGTTTTTACAGGCGTTGAACACAAAAGATTCTTCAATTTGTTAATCGACTGTAACAACAGAGAACAAGACTTATCGCTCTCTGAAGAATATATGATCAAGAACTAGAAAGGATCAACTCTTGAGGATTGATATAATTTGCACTATGGTCGTAATGCATTTCCAATTAAAATATCTGTCATCTGGGATCTTTTTACTTTTTATCAAGTTTGCATGCGTTTTGTGCCATACCGAGCAAATTCAAAACTCAAGGACCCAGGAAGAGAGAGGTGGGGAGGAATAAGGACTGTATGCTTCTTTATCTGACCTACACGGGTATGTTCCGTCAGAGAATGGTGTAGGTTACTTGGTCGTCAAGTCTTCACAGTGTACGCTATTTTATTATTTAACCTCTTGAGTAAAGTATCTTTCTGGAATGAAGGCCAACGTGTGTGGTACCGACAATTTTTGAAATATCTAACACGAACATTCTCTCTAAATACGATTTAGGTAGCTGGATCAGCTCGCCTACAGTCTAAAAGGAATTTTTTGTCCTGAACAGGAGAGCAAAATAAAATGATTTTCTCAAACGGGCCTGGGTTTTGAGGTCTACGGTGTACGTCAACCCGGTAAAATACCCTTCGTAAAATACGCGCTCAACGTGTCGGTAATGCTAGCCAGTCATCGTTATGTTAAGTTACAGGCTCGGATGTCTAAGAACGCGGTAATACCGACGTTTGTTTAAAAATACACAGTGCCTACTCAGAGAAGAATATTAATCCGCGCCTCGTGTCTCTTTTGCAAAGATTTTTGGATTAAATCTGACCCCGAACGTGCGCGACCATAATAAGCTATCAAGCAAGCAGCAGGCGATGACCCATATCTCTTCTCCATTTTTAGACACAATTCACGACAGACATGGAAAACTGAAGCATCACTCGTCAGTTTTTATTGGAATCAATTTAGATTATTATTTTTTCCCACGATGTTGACCACCTGAGGCTGGTCACCTTGCCTAATCGAGTTGCTTGAAACTATCTCGGTGAAAGAAACAAACGGCGTGTTTGGTTACTCTGAAGGACCGAAAAATGCGTGTGGTGCTGACTTTGTAGTCAGGCCTGTCAAAAGGAGGTGTTTCGTTCAATCTGTTTTGCTCAATGATGGCGGGAATTGGACAAGTTCGCTCCTTTCGGAGATGAAGGCAGTTTTGGGTGTAAATTATTGCGATTTCTGTCCCAGAATTATTTCCCGCAGAAAGACCTGCGGTATGTGAAGAGACAGTTCACGAAAGGACATTTGGCTTGTCAAGTCGCTCAAATATTTGAAACTTAAGGCACGCAATAGAATTTGAAGAAAAATATTGCTCTGTGCGACAAAAAACATACATTTCAATTTTCAACCCCAATATGTTGTCAATTAGTGATATCAACAGGACAGGCAAAATTCCCCAACAATTAAACAGACATTAATACACCCTCTGGACAAGTTTGTAAACATATTCATCTATTTGCAACTACGAATTTGACAGGTGAAAAAGATAAATAATTACCGAAGCATGGCTCTGCAAATGTTTTCTATCAAAACCTTTATCTTTATGAAGCGCATGTTGTAGATTTCAATTCATGATTAACAAAAGAATGCGTCAAAGAAGCATTAACGTAAACGACTTTTTGAGTGGTCCTTAACAAAACCGCACACACCAAAAACAAAGTTGAAACTCGAGCGAGGACTTAGTATTATGCGACCTCTTACTAACTCACACTTCTCTCTGTGGAATGAAATAGGCACCAATTATTATGATGCTTAAATAACACATCACGTATAGCTCTCGATAAATTGATTATAAGAAGATCCTGTGTGATGTTGAAAAAGTCCAGGCTCCTACTCTCGGCGTCATTTCTCGTCGAAGGGCGGATCGTATAACTGCAGCTGATAAAGCGATGAGATAGTTCATACTAAGACATTTGAAAGTACACTCGGTGAGAGATTAGGACGGCTTTGTTTACTTCCCAGCTGGTGGGAAAATAGCTGTTAACAAGAAACGATGCACAGCGGAGCAATGATGTTGGTAAGTGCTGGAGTTTTGTTGCTTGACATCTGTTTTGCAAAGTGGACCTAAATGAAAACGTTTTTGGAGCTGCGGCGTAAAAAGAAACGTTTTGTTCTATGTCGCTGCGAATTCTCTATCCACATAAGTCCTAAGATGTTCTCGTGGCTTTTATATCTCAACTTACACCTCCAATTGTAATGCATTCTTCACATCATGTATGCCTCTAAACCTGAGGCGGGTGATACCGACGAAATATTTCTCTCTAAAGGACTTTCATGCATATGGTGCGCGGGAACATTGTGTCCACCTTGTAAACGTGCGCATTTAAATCCTCTATCAAAACACGTTGATCGCACTGTTAGGCAGTGTTTGAAATATTCTGCCATTTAATCTAAATGTAATAGCTTTATGACTGTTTTGAAAACGCTAGCACAACTCTCATAACTTGTTTGGATGTTTACCCGCAGAAGTACATAATCTTTATGATAAACAAGTCATCAAAACATCATGCCTGACCCTACCTACGACTATGATCGATGGTTGATTTATATCTTTAATGCAAACTAGCCTCGCGATCTATGGGAGGTGCCAACTAATAACAAAAACAGTCTGCTTTCAAAGAGAATGAAACGAGCTATTTGAACAAAAAAAAAAGGAGATACTTGTAGCCCAGGTTCTTTAAGCATATTTAGACACGGGTCGTTCGCGGTTTTGATTCTTGCGAACTGGAGACTGAAAATATTGATCAGAGTAAAGAGTGATCGTCTAAAGAAAAAGTCATATACATTAGGTTTATACAGACTAAAGATCTATTGTTCTTTTGAGAGTCGACATACTGTACTTTCAAGGATAAATAATTACAGATTTTTTGAGCTGACTTATTATAATGGATGACATCTGACTGCCTGTCTGGGGTTAAATTACAGATATTTAATTAAAAGCACTTTTATAGGGACCCATTTCAAATACATTATTTTTGTTCGTTGTCTGATTTTTACGCACACGTGTATACATGATTTTGGCTGTGCTCAGAGTGGATAAAAGTAGCTAGTATTCACGTACTGCTGTTGAAAGTTTATTGCCAAACAGCCATCCTACCGTAGATCCAAAGATGATGATTGATATGAACTATAATCAAGACTAAATATTCCTATCGATTTTTTTTTGTTCTAAACTTACCACCTCTGTTTACGATGGAATGTTGCCCTGAAAAATAGGAAATATCAACTCTCTCAAGAAATTTCTACATTACTGCAAATCTTGTGAGTTGTTGCGCCTCTTATAACTGACTTGCGCAAGCGAATACCACATGAAAGATTTGATTTATAATCGGGACAATTGATTAACTTCAATCCTAACCTAAACATACTCACTTAAAGTGATCAATCACTTGAAATCTTGACATGGATAAAATACTATTTCTTTGGCGGTGCAATGGATTTTGTGGTCGATCTCATATATAGACGACGTTATGCTACTTGTTATTGTGTGATACCGGATATCAAGCCTACTAAGTTTTTCGAGGGGCATTTATATTGTTTCGCTGAGATATGCACAAGGTCTTGACGACCAATACGAGCAGCCAGAGAATACATAGCCAGAGTGTAGAAACAATTGACAGTGCTAATCAAGTGATTCAGTCTTTATATTTGGCCCAGTCTTTTCTAAAAGATGTAAAATCAGTAAAACTGCAAAAAGGTGTAGTCGAGAGATGTAAATAAAATTTTGTCGAACAGGAATGGTGCACTATTGCCAGAGAGGGCTGGTCTTCCTTTTATGTTGTCTCGTAAATTCTCGCACTTTGTTTACATGTGGGTCGAGTTTTCTTATTATCCTTTTTTAACTTTAGTTTTTTGTTTTTTTCAAAAACCAGCCACCCAAGTATCAATTCTATTAGAGAAAATAAACTGAAATAAAGGCATGAGCTATTTTAATCATTTTTCGAGAACCTTCCGTGATATTTGGAGAAACAAAATTGCACTATGCATTTTTCATTTGCTTAAAAAGTTACGTGTAAATAGTTTCGCGTGGGCGTAATTTATAACAACAACAACCATTTCCGAAAGTTGCGACAATGGTTAAGAATCACACCACGTCTTGCGACGAAAACAAAAAACCGAATTGGACTCAGTATTACCATTAAAGCCTCAATTACACCTATACAACTACACTTTTCAGCCGACACGTGCGCCAGCTCGGCTATCGCAAGCCAAACAATCTTTTATTGTGTTTTGAGTGATTATTCCCAAGTTCATCTCTACATAACAGATAAAACGACGTAAGAAGGAAATCCTCAGAATCCAGCTTGGCAATTTCCTGTCTCGAGCTGCGAGTTGAGTTTGTTGCATGTCATTTTCCATCAACAATTTCCGCCTAACTAAAAAACATTAATCGAGACCTCTAAGTGATAAATCAATTTTACGTCCTGGTCTGTTAGGCACCACATACGAATCAGTAAAGCTCAAGAATTTTTATGACCTCTTCACACGCTTCGGCTAGTAGTCGCACATATGCTAGCTTCAGTTTCATGAATACATTGTTGAAAAAATTCTTAAGAGGATCAAAGAAGATCAAGTTTTTTTCTTCCTGTAGGTCAAAAAAAGATAAACTTTCTAACAAGATGAACATTCTTAGCCATTTAAAGTCGATTTTATCAAAGCTGAAAAACCAGTTTCTCTTTATCTTATTCACGAGAAGGTAAGCGATACGTCCAGAAACGCCGATTAGAAGCTGAAACCAACCAAGATGAAGAAAACCAAAATTTGTAATTGTCTAGCGGTTACAACTTAAAAAATATACTGTGCAAAATTATCATTTGAACAAGCCTCTGAAAGTTAAAAAGTCGTGAGAATGTTTACAATACTAGTTCCCTTTGTGAAAGCAAATATAACTCAAGTGCTCTCTTTAAACCGGATGACGATAACGTCTCGATTCCATGCCATCTTTTCATGACTTTTTCCTCATGAAGTTTTTTCTAGATAAACAACATGTAACTAGACTCTCATCTTTGGTTAGCCACACGCTCAAAATAAAACCTGGTACGCCTTCCTCTGTTTGATTTATTGGATCTTTCCATTAAGAATTCTTCTGTTCCTTATCTTTCGCTGTTGATAACCCGCGCTCTTTTAAAAGAGGAGTAATGTAATTCCCATACAGTTTTAACCCATCTGAACCACTTAACTTTTTTCTTCTTTTGGTTCGACTCCCGCTGTTTGTATTTTCCTTTCAGTACGCATCTTTGAGTTATCGTCACTACCATCATCTAATCTGGTGATCTTTCCCCAATTTTTAGTCATTTTATAAACTAAAGTTTGTTTTCTAACTCTTCAAGATCTCCAATATAGAGCGATAATACTTGCGTGACGGTCTGTGTCACTTGATATTTTCTTCTCAAAAAGCTAACCCTCAATAAGAGCTACTCTGCCCTATATTCGAATTCCATCAGATTCTAAATCAGTTGGTCTTAGTTTTTGGTAGCATATTACCCACAAGGGCAGCAAATAGACTAAAACATACAGGTACAGTACTCAGCTGTAAATCGGACTAGTTATAACTGTAGACTTTTTCAATAGTTATTCCCAAAGCAGTTGGTTTTTCTTTCACTTGTCGTGATCCTAGCTGAAATTTTGAGGAATGGTCCATCTAAGAATGTGAATTATGGAAGTGGGCTGATAGCTTTTACCATTTTAGTTCTTGGTTCAATCTTATTGACTCGTACAAGTCTGATTTGATGATCATTGATGGCTTACAGATTACTTAAATACTTGAAGGAATTGTTGTCAAATCTTGCCTTTAGTAAATCTACTGAGAGTCAAAAATATTCAATTGACGATTAGGCGGGTCACTGTCAATCAGTTCCCTGGAGAGAGGAAAAAACATTCTGAAATAAATTAAGATCATGCACAAAGAGTACTAGAGACGCTCAAACAAATAAACCCATGTGATATCTATTGAATTAATTGTGTTATCTGCTTGCAGGCACTTTTTCTGGGGAGCCTCGCTGTGTCTTCTGTGAAAGGATTCGATAGGGGTGAGACATCTATGGCTATAGCTAATTACAATCCTCAATTTTTTCCGCGATTAAGTTAAATTAGATGTACCTTGTGATTCACTAATTGAATTTTGTTACCACAGATGATCTCTTTGGGTTAGGGTGGGTTAGCCCTAAAGAAATGATCTAGTCATAACGTGATGACTAAATTAAATTGACTGCAATATTTTGCAGACGTACATGGTTTTGTTGAAAGGACGATTATCAACAAACACACGATGTGTGATTTTTAAAAAGGCGGGGACTTTCCGAAAACTGACACTGAAGTCAGTAAAGAGTCCGAGCTCTGTTCTAAATCGATAACTGAGTCAAACCTATTACCATTTGGGAGTCGATAGGAAGCTGCGATCACCTCTAATCAGACAGAGTTAATAAAGTGTTATCCTCTTTGTCTCTGCCGAGAGAGTGTTAGACTAAGGAATTGATTCACAATAATGGCCTTACTTCCGTTAAGTCCATAAAGTTATTTTCAGGTCGCTCTCAAATTCGCTATGTTTGCTCCCGGAGCCTTGCGGGCCTCTCTTCCATCAAAGTGTTCAAACAACATGCGAGGTAGATATAATTGCATAACTCAATGTTTTTCTTCCGATGGACAGGTCGCGTCCGAAAATAACGCCTCAGTGTATCGTTTACTAACATTTTTATTTCTGATTAACACCCAGCAGCTGGCCCTAACAACCGAACCTGCGAGTCCGTCGTAAGGGAACTTGTTGATTCCCGTCCCCTTCACATAGCAATCCGACATTGCTGTAACTACTCGAGGGTTACTTATGACTGTATCAATGGCTACAAACAAGTAGATGGAGATAGAGTGCGGCGCTGCTTTGAGGGTAAACTGCATGGGAGGGAGCCAAGGTGCAGATTTCCAAAAGGTAGGATCCATAATCCAGGAAAGTGAGACAGATTCCCTGATCCTTACCTTCTAAGTATTGTGTCTTGATATTTTCTTTCAGTCGCTACATATGTTCTTTTTTAATCGAGACCGTCACATGAAATTTATTGTGGCTTAATTGACCTGCTGACCTTGAAGTTCAACTGCCATTTGGTTAAATCTCGACATTCTCTCATTGAATCGAGGTTGATTTGTTTTTCATTGGAGACTTTCTCAATTGGCAATATTTGCATTTCAATGATGTGTACTGTTGTTACTTACTTTCGCACCCACTCTCATAAATATTGTGCTTTAGAGAGTAATTTAAGTTTGTGGAATATATAGTAATATGTGGAGAGCAGTTGTGACTAGATTACTTAATTAAGCATGCAACTAAGGTTCAAGGTCTGGGTTCGGTCCTCTCACTAGCTTTAGGCGATCATCAATAGTTATTTGTCCCAAGTACAGCAGTAATTCTCATACAGCGTGCAAAACAAGCGTAAGGTTTTGGCGTTTCCAGGCGGGCGGGGCAAGCGAAAAATAACAGCTATTCTGCAGGATTGTAATCCTTTTCTGCCTATTCAGTATAAGATTTTTTTGTCCTTATTCATTTTAAACGAGTTAAGGTGTTTTAACTCTTGAAAAAGGAGTTGTAACTTTAAAAAGTGGATAAATTTTGTCCAAAATACTTTGAATTGTTTCAATTTTGTAGTGACAAGCTGTGGTAACCCGGGAACGATTCGTCACGGATACTTCATTGGATCTGATTTCAGTTTTGGTAAGACTGTGGAGTACAGATGCAACCGCGGTTATAAACTGCATGGACCGGCGATCATTAAATGTAAGAATCATGGGATATGGAGTGAGCAACCAGAGTGCATAGGTGAGTAAAATTGTTTCTTCTTGATATTGCTTACTGGAAATAAGTTACTCGTTGTGTGAAAGACAAGACAGTCTAAGATATATTCTGTATTTGTTGTTAAAGCGCGTTTGTATTCTGCAACCAAAACATCATGATTGGAACACTTTTTGGAAGACACGTTGGCACGGACTCGCGTTGTTACCGAGGTGACTCTACTATCATGGCTTTATTCTGAACAAGAAACATTTCTGTCTTACTATCAATCTACAAATTAACAAGGATGATGGCAAAATGTTTTGCTTCAGATGGCCTTGCTGCTTAGTCATGCATTTTGCTTTGGAGAGCGTGAAAATTTTCCTACTCAACTTATAAAAACACTTTTAATTATCGGAACTAAAGCGATGTCATTATTTTTCTTCAGATAAAAAAGTAATGGATGTGGACGAAGCTACTGCCTTTATTCGTCACAGTCTTTTTGACAATTACGTCAAACGTCCGTGTTCATCAAACGATTCATGTTCAAAGGTTGATTCTAGAACACGTCGTTCGCTTGATCTCGATTTCAGTGGAGGTCTGGATGTGATATTCTTGGTGGATGTATCTGATGGAGTTTCTAAGGACGACTACAAGATTGGACTCAAGTTTGCTCAAGAACTAATCAGAGTTTTAGCAGCAACTGTTCTGTGAGTAAATAGTATGGTACTTTGACTGCAGGTAGAGAAACAGGCAATTGCTCTTTTTTCTTTGTGATAGTAACTTAAGGCTAAAATTAGTCAAAATCTTAAGTACCTTAGGCCATGATACTCAACTTACATAAATGTTCTCTGCGTTTTTCCCCTAAAAACCTAGAATCTCAACGTTGCATTACGTAATGAACTGTTATGTACATTGCTTTTTGTAAAGCCGAATATACCAAGGGTTAGTCGATGCGACATCTTGTTCGCAGCAGCAAAGCTAATCACGTATCATGTTTCAGCAAACGGTGTCACTTTGATAGTTTTCCTCGGCCTGGGATAAGTATAAATACACGTAAAATTGTAGGTTAACAGAATAACAGTATAAACGTGCGAACCATTTCCTGACACTTGAGTCTTTACCGCTTTTTTGTAATTTCTTGTTCACAGGCGAGGGGATATTCGTGTTGCAGTTGTATCGTACAACAGAAAACCAGACATTTTCATGAATTTCGCATCTCCTTCCGACAGAGCGATAAAAAAGATTGGTGGTATCAAGAAACTCGGGGGGTGTGGTACTTCCCTCGGTAGGGCCATGTACATGACAAGGCGAAGGCTGGTCCCTAATATTCGGACTAATAGCAACAAGGCCATGTTTATCATAAGCACTGGACTATTGAACATGGGAACAAGCCACCCAAAGGCGTCGCGTTTATTGGAGAGCGAGAAGTCATTTCAAATCTTTTCTATTGCTATCGGCAAGAGTCCTGATACGCGGCTTTTATCGTCTGTTGTCTCGCAGCCTGAGAAGAGCCATCTTATATTTCTGAGATATTATGGTGACGTTTTCGATGCTGTGCGGCGAACCGTATCAAGGAACAAAAAAGGTGATGTGCAGTTGTAAAAGGGAGAGCTCAATATTTCTGAAAAAAATATTAATAGCAAACTGAGTATTTTTTAATTAAAAAGAAATGTTTAATACCTTAGTATTAAACGTAATGAATTTATCATCATCTTCATCTACATCTACATTTATTGAGTTGGTAAAATCTTATTAGATTTCACATCAACTGTAAATAAAAGCTAGAATGAAAAAAAAAATTATTAGCACGAACAGTTCGTATGTTCCTTTCTAGTCCTTCCCCACTGCAAATAATGCAGTGAAAATGGAGTAAATTAAATTAAGTTAAATTAGATGGAAATCGAGCGCAGAACTGAAAACGACATTTCAACTAAAATTGCCAGAGAAAACCCTGTTTTAGTGTAATCCCAGCTGCGCTTTATGAAAAAGAATTAATAAATAACCTCATTCTTCTTCTCTAGATCCTAGCGAATGTGGTGTGAGTGTGACCAAACCAAGAGCTCGGAATGTGCGGGGCAATAGGGCGACAAGTGGTGTATGGCCCTGGCAAATCAGCCTCCATTGGGAAGGTAAGCAAGAAAAAGGATCAAGTAAATTAAATGTTCTCTACACCAAGGTATAAGCAATTCTTTATGTTTGGATGCGCTTGGTCACCATAGTATATGGGCCATTACACCATGCCCATGGCTAAAACTGAAGTCACTCGTTCATTATAATCCGCGAGTAACTTTTGTTTTCTTTTCTCGGAATAACGAATTTTCTTTCGGAGTAAAGCTAGTATCACTGACCTACCAGTATGATGAAGATATTTTTAAAGAACAATTTTTTAAGTTTGACGTAATTTAAAGCAGGCGATTTGAATCGGCTCTTTGTGCCTCGGAGGCTTCAAATCCAAAGCATACTCTTTGACTGAACTTTGAGTGTCAAGTTTTCGTGGGCCCTGCGGCGGAACTATTGGTTTCCTGGAAGATCAGAGTCTCCTTGGGGGTAGTTTATTGAACGACCACATACATTTTTTAATTTGTCAGGGGGCGGAAAGATCTGCAGTGGAGCTCTGATTAGCAACGAATGGGTCATCACTGCAGCGCATTGCTTTTATTCTAAAACATGGAGACCGGTCGTTCGCCCTGCTTCCAAGTAAGTGATCGGGATACACAAGATGTCTTTAAGAGTAAGACTTGTGTTTTCTTACAACTCAATCAAGTAGCATCTTCTGCCAGTACTCCACGTCTTTAGTTACTTTATCATGGATAGTATGGGTATTTCATCATCAGTGTGCATGTTTCAAATGCAAATGAATATGAATAAATGCAACATAATTGTTGATGTATCTTAACAAGGTGGAGGAGGAAACTTGCTTTGCGCCAAGCTTTTAAACCCATAAAACGCAGCATGCGCAACACCCACGAACTGCGCTCCAAACGCAGTATTCCTCGTTTTACATACCATAATGCAAAACAAGTGTGCCCAAATGTCCGGTATTCCCCACTCTATGAGAAATGAGCGCAAGCCACTCGTACTGTGTAGAGATTCATCCTAATGAAATACAATTTACGGATCGCATATAGCTCTTTACCGTTCGCTTCCAAAATTTCAAGTGTCGAACTGGTCCTTACGCTGAGCTGACCTTCGCATCAGTTTCTTACATCAGTAGAATTGTTATAAAATTAACGTAAACTATCTAATCCAATTCCGTAAATCAACTTTGTTCATAGGTACACGATAAAAGCTGGAGGCCACCATCTTGGAGACAGGAGAATCAGTCCGGAACAAGTCATTGAAGCCGCTAAAATTCACATACACGACAACTACAAGCGACAAAGTCATGAAAACGACATTGCGCTCATCAAACTAAACCGAAAAGTCAAGTTTGGAAAGTATGTGAGTCGTGTATGCATGCCTGTAGAGCACAACGACTTGGCAACTCCGGGCAAACACGGCTTCGTCGCTGGATGGGGCGAAAAACAAACCCAAGGGAAGCAAGATAAGAAATCCTCAAAACATCGGAAGAAAGGCCGCAGTAAAGTGATTCTGCATGTAGCTCTGGAGGTATCCCCTAATAAAGCTTGTGACAATAGCACCCGACAGGCATTTAACAGGACAGTCATGTTCTGTGCCGAACATAATAAGGCGTGGCAGCACTCTTGCCGAGGAGATGGTGGGGGACCATTTTTGCGCGAGAACTATGATTCAAAAACCAGAAGCTATCGATGGACCGTCGCAGGACTGGTAAGCTGGGGTGAGGGATGCGGAGTGAAAGGTCGCTACAGTTTTTTTACCCGGGTGGCTCCGTATTTCGATTGGATATTAGAGACAACGAATCCACCGAAGAGAAGAGGCAGACACTCGCGAAGACGACATAACAATTGATTTGAATGAACAAGAACGACATAAATTTTGTTTCTGATATGCTATGGATCGAATAACGGAAAGGAATACAATAATAAAATGTAGCGACGAAAATTAAAAGGGAAGAGTAAAAATGCCGGTGAGTTTGGTGACATCATCAGAACGTTCCCTCGTATAAACTCTGCGAAGTGTTACTTTCTCTTAGTATTTAACATCCAAGAGGTAAAGAAATCAGGATTATGAAACGAGAAGAATAAAATACGAAATAGGGAATCGAAGTGTGTCTTGTAATGTTAAGCGCGATCCTCCTCATTCGTATTCATAAAAGTCCCACTTCGGCGTCCAGTTTAGAAGGTTCAGCAATCATATTTTATGGAAATTTACAATCGATTGTTGAAAGTAATCCAGTATTCCACTGGTTTTGGTTAAGTTCGATCTGTAATTTGTCTGAAAAGGACACGTCATCTTCCCAACCAATCCCTTGCATTGTTAATTAGTTCCCACTCCCCATTGAGTGTGCCTCCCAGACCCTAGTGTTACCTCAGTCATCTATTCGATTCCTTTGGTTTTGGCTTTATGGTACTCAGTTGAAAACTCGCAAATTAACTGTTCCAGTTGAAGTTAGCTTTTTTGAGTACAAATCATCATCTAAATGTCTTGGGGTGACAATTGACATTAAGCTACCATGGCAGGAGCACATAAAGAACGTTTGTAAGTCATTCAGCAACAAAGTCGCAGTACTGAATCGGATAAAGTTTTTACCGATACCAACCTTAGAAAACATTTATTATAAAACAATTATCCCTAGCGTTTTGTATGGCATTGTAGTCTGGGGGTCTTGTTCTTCAGCCTTGACGGATGATATTGATCGAGTTCATTTAAGAGCTACAAGAATTATTTACAACCTACCCCATAGCATCCACAGTGATGACATCATGAACGCTTCACACTGGAACTCTATTGTATCATTTTACATTAGGAGACCTTTAGTTATTACGTACAATATCTATCATGGAAATAGCATCGAGCCTCTAAATGACTTAATAGTGAATTCCGAGACTCCTTATGACTTAAGAAAATCCCTAAAAGTTAAGGTTCATAGACCAAGAACAGAAATGGGAAGATCTTCGTTTAAGTTCAGAGCTGCACTATCCTGGTACCTCCTTCCTGAAGACGTCAAAAACTGTTCAAACGTAACTTCTTTCAAGAGAAAACTCAGGGAAAATAAGAGAATTCTGAAATCTATCAGTTTTGCTAAAGCTTCCTGCAGCGTTTCCAACAAATCTGTTGACTTTAAATACTTTTAACATTTACTCCGTATTGTTATTAATATTTATTTCTTTCAATTGTCATTATTTACATACCCATTTTCGGTTTATTCACTAATTAGGTTTTTATTAATTGATAGTTTAATTGGTGCAGGTCCACATCAGGACGTAATGTCTTGCCTATCCCTCAACCGGCTTTATTAAATAAACTATGATGATGATGATGATGATGAGGTACGAACTACAAACAATATACTTCCTCAAGAGATTTTCAAAACACAGTCACTTTCGTGATGTTTATAAAGCATCCAATCGTCGATTCGATCGGTCTACATCGTTAAGCATTGACGTATGTAAAATGCCTCCTAGGTTTCATGGTCAAAATTTATAAGTGGAAGCTTAGGTTAATCGTCTATAGTGGAGGAAAAACTGGACACTAGTAGTAGACTGATTAATCGTAAGAGTTGTAGAGTGAGGTGATTAATTAGAAAATGAAGTCCAAATAAACGGTGATAGTTATTTGGTGGTTGTACCTGCATGCTACCTCACTTTGGCATTCGTATGCTTTTGTTCAGCAGCTACAGCTCGTGGCTCGTGATTCGTCAATGAATCCAAAAACTGTCGCTAACAAAATGAAAGCACACCGCTCGCGGTTGACAATGTGTTTTTCTGTCAGATTTTCAGAGTTTGAAGCTTCTTTTCTTTTCTCAGTGACATTCTCGTGCCCGAAAACGTCCAAATTAAACAACTTACTCTAAACTCTTTAGAGCCTATGGTCAGTCTCAAGCCTGAGATTTTGTGAAAGTAAATTCTTCCCCGCTCATCTCAATTCAAGAATCCTGTGACCTGATTAAATTCAAAACTGAAAAGGTAACTATAACAACTAAAACAATCCATAAATTTTGTTTTGAATTAAAATGTCCGGCAAATGTGTGTTTACCTGAAATAAACCTGACCCTCTTAATTCTTCTAGCTTGTCTTTAAGAAAGCTAAACGTTTGTGGTTTGTCTTGTTTAAATGTCATGTACTTTATCCTCGTAAGCCTCGAAGGAACTTTGTAGACGATCTGTAGTCCTCCTTCGTTTGTTGAGAAAGTTGTCTCCATCCTGGATAAATCTGATGTCATCCTCCAATGAACGCTTTACGCTGCGGACTCTAATCTCCGCTGTTTCTTTCAAGTCACTTATTCCTGAAATTGCCACTTCTTCACATTTTTCCTATGGAGGAATAAAAGCAAAGACTATAGATTTGTTTGTTTGTTTGTTTGTTTTTAAAAAATCAGCATTATAACAGAAATAAAGTAAAGCGCGCGCTCTGATTGGTCAATTCAGTATCCACCATTTACACACGGCTGTACGCTGATGGCGTGTGCAAATGCAAAGACTAGTTTTCGCGCACTTGTTTTTTCTGGTCACGTAAGATTTTTTAAAAAAAAGGAAATTATTTTGCCCCAATGTATCAATGTTATGTCATAAAACAAATGGTAAATACCCCAGCGTACAGTACTGAGTTATGGATGCACTTGTGAGGTTTGCTAAGCCCTCACGAAGCTAGAGTTACTCTCGGCCATCGCCTTGCGCGACCCTTACGCTTCTTTCGTGCTAAGCAACCTCCTGCATGCATCCATAATTCAGTAGTGTACGCTGTGATGTTAACCATTTGTGAATAACCGTAAATCCTGTAATAAGCCTCCCTCTAAGAAGCCCACTCTCTTTAGGGGAAGAAAATTATCAAGACCCCCTCATTCATCCTTAAATTTATTCAAGTAAAGTAATTTTAGTTTATCATTTTAAATAAAATTCATTATGGTGATTGATTGATTTAATACTATCACGTTGGCATCAATAGAATACGGTATAGAGGAATTAAAGAGAGTTGCTAAAAATATCACATGACTGAACAAGGTCCATTGAGAGAGTTAGATCATAAAATTGAGTTCTTTTTTGAGTTCTAAATTAATAAGCCCCTCTCTATTAAGCCCCTCTCTGATAAGCCCCTCCCCGCAAAGTATCTGAAATAGGTAAGCCACCCGAGGGGCTTATTAGAGGATTTACGGTAAATACATTTCATTGAAACCTTACTTAATGCTTTGTATCTAACATAAAAATGAAAGCTCCCCCCTTCTAAAGGCATGATTGTCAAGGTAAGTAACTTGCCAGCTTGGAATTACTTCGCATTCTTTCCCGTTTATATATAGGAGACCTTGCATGTTGTCGCTTTAAACTTAATCAAAGTTTTTCATCGTAAAACGCTCTTTAGACGTTGAATGAGCCTTTGACACTTCTAATCAAGCTGAGTAAGTCGTACGCACCTCGTGTAATGCTCTGACCTTGGTTTCAAAGAAATTCTGTACCGCAGTGACCTCAGCTTGACTTGTGGGCCAAAAGTATCTGAGCCATCCACTCAAATCAGTCCATGGTACTATACTGTTGATCATAGGTACACCAAGCGCTGAGATTAGACCTGAATAAATAAGAACCAATTTGAGGGATGAAAGAGCGAAAATCGTTTTATGTTGACACCCAAAAAGTTAGAGACGAGGTTGCCTGAAAATTGATTTGACAAAGAGAGTCGAGGTAGGAATTCAACAAACTAATAGATTTTTCCTTGTTATTGTAAAGCCAAACTGCAATTCAAGCACTGCGTATGGTTGGTCTTATATGATTATGTCCTAATGGAAGTTTATAAGACACTTAGAAGAACCTCTTACCTCCGCTTTGACCAAATATAAATGCTCCTAATAAACCACAGCAGACCATTTTGGAAGGTAAACTAGGATTCGTTAGGCAGCCGTGTATGTCATTTCCTTGATATTCAAAACTCTCGTCGAGGCGAAAATCCTCGCTTTTCCACGTGGGCTCCTTTACCTGGAAAGAGAGTCTACCAGGCCCATCTGCTACTTTAGACAGGCAGTTCCAAATGCAGTCCAACTGTTCCTTTAGATCCCTGTCATTTTCCACCAATACCTGGAGTTTACGGTTCAAACCATCCCTGCAACGATCTAAGGCGTTTTCCGGAGAGTAACCGTTTTTCATGTCATGTTCTATTTGCATCTTGAACTGAGCCAACTGTTGGTCTCGCTGAAGGCGCCTCATTACTCCTACAAGGACACTTGATACTTGAGACAGGTGCGACTTTATGCTATTGTCGGCATCTGTAAGTTTGTTCATCCGATTTGAGAGCCTCTGAATTCTCTTTTGCTTTCGGCTATCCATTATTCTGCCCAGATTTCCTGACAAACCCTTTGCTTTTGCAATGAATGCCTGCATATCGTACTTGAGTGTGTCGAATTTTAATGCACCTTCAGCTGCTTCGACCAAGTTGCGTTCGAATTCCTTAAAACCTCGAGAACCCTCCGTTTCTCTTTCATCTGAGGTAGATGCTTCGTTCTGCGTCAAAACGAATGAACAAAGTTAGTTTGGGAAGGTTAAACAGTTGATTAGAGGGACAAATACTAGAACAGGGCCGATTAAAGAATTTTTGAAAGAGGATGGGTCACGCAAGAGTTTAAACACGGCTAACAAATATTTTGCGGTGAGTAAATTATGATAATTCAAGTTGATTAGAAGTGTGCAGTCCTGTCATTGGAAGAATTTTGGTCTCAGAAAAGTAGTGAACGTCTAGAGAAAAACCTGAAGTTTGATAAAAAGTAACCGTGAAACTTATCCTGGTTTCCTTGAGATGAAGTGACTCAAGGAATGTCTTATCCATTCCCAGGGAACTTGCCTAGATAAACCCCTTTTAACTCTGGCCATTTACGTCCTTTTTAGAATGGAGAGATAAATTACTGTTTCTCTGGTAATAACAGGAATTTAAAGGCTCCACACCAATTCCAAATATAGTAAATACTGCCCCTGAGTCAGGAGGCAAATTTAGTTTCAGTATAGTTACCTGCTGTAAAAGATACCTCGCTGCTTCCCTTTGAGTCTGCGAGTCAATGAAGAAAACCTGTCCTCTATCAGATACAGCCGTCATGAATTCTGCCACGCAGCGATCTTTAATGTCGTCTATCGTGATTTCTGCACCGTCGTCAGAAGAATGATTCTCTTGGAACAAATCCCACTTGGTGAAAACCCCAAAAGTGTATCTGCAGTTAACAGCTGTCACGAAATCCACTACCTAATGGGCAATTGAGATGACTAATTATGCAAATCGTTCATGCAAGTAGATTACACGGTAAAATTAATCAACAGCCAGTGCGATAAGTTAACTCAGCCTTATACTTTCGAAGGTTACAATTACAACAATGGCATAACAAAATTCATTTGATGAGGCCTTGTTAGAATTTCGGTTTGTCAACTGAAAAGATAACAAATGAATAAAGGCTGATAGTTCCGAAAGAAACTGTTTGGGGCTGCGTCGGTGGGAGTAACGAAATAATTTGGATATATCAACAAAGTTGAAATGGTAAATTGGCCACCGTAATGATTACAAAAGCTGACGTTTCGAGCGTTAGCCCTTCGCCGGAAAGCTGAAGTTGAAAATGTCAATACTTGTCAATACTATAGGAATTGTATACAGACCAGCATGAAGAATTGCATACATATGCCTTCATACGAATCAAGGATCTCCATCATTACCAGCGAGAGGTCTCAGTAAGAAAAGTAGACAAATAGTAGATGTGCTCTTTAAATTTCTTCTGAACGAAAAGGCAAACGAAAATGGCAATAGGAAATAGGTTCCGTTTGCAAAAAATGTCTCCTGGTTCGCGACAAAAATCTGCCCTATTGCTTTTCTATAAAAAATAATATGTTTTTCTCAAGTACAAGCGACGGTTTTCTTTTCTACGGGCTGCATTTCAAGTACATGGTATGGTAATTACTAAATACTAAACTAAATATCAAGAAAAGATTTCCCTCTTAAAAGTGATAATCAATTCGTTTGGGCACAACAAGGCTTTTGAGTTCCTGCTCTTCATAAAAGGAAACGATGGCTGACTTTGATATAAAACGCTCCTGATAACCTTAAATTTGCAAAATCTTAAGCCGCACGCGCTGTTATTGTTCTTCTCATCAATATTATTTTTGTTTCGCCACGTTCCCCTGCCGTCGCCGCCGTCGTGGTTTAGCNCCGGCGAAGGGCTAACGCTCGAAACGTCAGCTTTTGTAATCATTACGGTGGCTAATTTTCCATTTCAACTTTGTTGATATATCCAAATTATGACAAAGATAACAGGTTACCATAATCTTCTTCCGTTTGAAATTGTTTTGTGAATTAGTAAGGCAGTTATAGGTAGTAGTATTCTTGGGTTATCTGTGACTTAATCCCGATTGCTTGGTGCACGGCCTTCTTTTTTACTGAGGATAAAGCAATCCCTGAAAATCTACACCTCATTCAACGATGAAGGTTGAGACATAAAGCACCACGTGCATAAGCATTATTATATTCATCTCACCAACATAAACATGAACCTGAGACGTTTTCCTAGACATCTGTTAGACTCAGCCTTCAATAAGACTCTCAGAAGTTTCGCTTGTGTTATTTAAACTTACTTGTACTACAGATTTGTCGAGTATAAAAATATTCATCCGGGAGCAGAGCTCTACATATAATTAATATTAGACATACTAAGCTGGGTTTGAAAATACAAATCAAAGTAAAATATACAATATGGCGTCAGTCATGCGATAAAAGATCAGTCTTCGTTGGAAACAGTTTCATTCAACTGGCTAATACAAGTTCGTAAAATGCTATGAGGTTTGAATTGTTGCGTTTGTCAGTCTCAACCATAAATCTCGCTGAATTATAACTTACTATGAGGAGTACAGACTAATAGTTAGTCTTCAGTTTTGATAGCACAGAACATTAAATTTTGTGTCATCACGGTAATTTGGCAGTAAATTGAGACCCTTGTTTCGCTTCCGGGTTAATCTGATTTGAAAGGGTAAGATTTTACTTACGGTTCTCAAACTGGGGCTATGAACATCCATAACGGCGACAATAACGTCCACAAACTTACAGAGTTCGATCACTGCGTCATCTGTAGGCTTGCGTTCGCCTATGCCCGGAGTATCGTACAAAACAACATTCTCCACGAGGGCCTTACATCGCGCTGTCGGCCATTTCACATCAATAACGCTGGCCGGGGTAATACCGAGTATCTCCCGCTGCTCTTTAGCTTTAAGAACGTGAAGAAGTTGACGAAACTCGGGAATCTCTAGAGCTTTACCAGAGCCTCTTACAACGGCCGTCCACCCGTCGCTTGAAGACCCGGTCACCGCCACGTTGCAAAACGTAGTCTCCGCTCGAGTAACAGGCATTATGTTTTCTCCGAGTAAAGCGTTTATCAACGTCGATTTTCCAGCGCCAACGGAGCCAACAAAGGCGATCTGCATTTTATTCTCCGCTCGTTCTGAGAGCTGAATTGCAGAGGCGTTTAACTGGTCAATTCCATTGGAGACTGTCTCGAAATCTTGCCATTCGTTTGAGGTAGCACACTCGTCGTCAAAGAGACGACGAATATCGTCTCTAGTTTCTGTTAAATTGTTAACTAAATGTTTCAGCTGCTCTCTTGTGAGCTTGATTTGTCGAATTCTTGGTGCAAACTGTGCGAACATCGTGTGAATATAGTTTAATTGGTTTAGACTTTGCTAGTAGCGACAGATATCTGTTGTCGAGTGAAGCTACTAGAGTATGACATGCGCATTTCTGGGCTTTCGATTTCTCGTCTTACTTGACCTTTGTTAACAAAGAAATGCAAATTTCTGACCCTTTTTAATCAAAATATGAGTCAAGGCGTCAATAATTGAACTGAGAGGCATATGTATCAATTCCATAAACATCTTACGGAGAAACCAAAACGAGTAATTTCCAAAAGGTTATGACACTAAAACTGCTATTTAATTTTTGCCTTAATTGCTTCTGCAGTCAACCAAATTTCCATTTTCTTTTGAAGAAAGCCGGTTTAAAAAAAAAGTTATATCCGCCGTAAGCTGGCTTTGTTTGCATGTATGAAGAATTTTAATGACTGTTGTATTGACTTTACATTTACAAATGTAAAACCAAGCTCAAGCTACTTGGTGTTACATTTGAGGATGACCCTGTGAGCTGGGACTCACATATTCATTACGTGCTTGGTAAGGCCACCTTTCGTATGTATACTTTAAGAGTTTGTAGATTTTATGGCTACCCTAAGGAGCAATTAGATCTGCTCTTCCAAAGCCTAATTATTTCAGTCTTCACATAGGCTATCGAGGTGTGGAGTTGCTGTTATTATGATAAATATCTTAAGAGAATAGACAAACTGTTTGCTAGGGCTTTCAAGTCTGGATATTGTTTGAAGAAATATAGTATTTGTGATATTTTAGCCACCGGAGATAGCAAACTATTGATCAAGATCACTTAAAATATCACTGCACTTGATGATCTTTTACCGCCGAGACGTACTAGGCAATTGTGCAGCAGGGACCATGATTATATATTACGTAGAGTTCGTTCTTCACGTTTTAAATCCACTTTTGTAAATAGATGTCTTTTTAGCTTTGTCTGCCATTAATAGTTAGTTGTGTTTTCTATCTTAATCTGTTTTATATTTCATTTTTTTGTAAATAATGACACGGTTTATGCATTATTGCTTTTAATAAAGACCATTATTTTTATTATTATTATTATTATTATTATTATTATTAATATTATTACAAACTCAAGTTCCCGACGTGTCAATCTCAGCTGAGTAAAGTACATTTTGGTCAGTAAGCGCTGTTAAGTGACCAGAATAGGACAATCACATGACTTTCGGAGTGCATATAGTTTATTTTTGACCCGAGTAGCATCATTTACTCCCGAACGGAGCAAGGGTACAAATGATGCTACGAGGGACACAAATAAACTAAATGCCCTCCAAAAGTCATGTGATTATCATTATTATCAATACAGAGGGCCAAATCGCACAAATTCATTTAATCAGAAAACATGTTTAGTCGCTATCATCGCTTTCGATTGTTCGGCGGCGTTTGCGGGTTAATCAGGGCGACGGTACTTCATACTTTCTGTGATAAATGTTCATTGTTCCAATCTGAATATGTTGGCTGCAATTTTGGTATGGCTGTGCCAAGGAAATAAAATGGTTTTGGAGAGGAGACTGTGAGTTCAAGTTTGAGCCAGGATCGACTGACGGGCCGGCGACATTTTGCCTCGTGATTCCTGAAGCTTCTTGCTGAATAGCGAGTTATGGCTGAAATTTGTCACTTAAAATCTTAGATCACTCTCTTTTTTGTGCACTTGTTGTCTCGCTGATGTAGAGAGAAAGGCTCCGTTCATCTTTATGCTTTGTGATTGCACAGATTTTCAGGCCTTGGCACAGCCGTACCAAAATTTCTGGCGGCAAATGCCATTTACAGCCCGCACTTTGCTGTTTGGCCCGCGAAAAGGAGCGCTTTAGGGAGGGCAGTCAGTTGTCATTTGGCCGCGTATAGTTGTAAAAATTATGTTTAGCCTGGGTGTATATAATTTTTGGAGGTGCTCCGATCAGAAAGAAAGGGTCACCTCTGTACTTCCTTTACCTGTTGAGTCTGTTTGTAAAATGCTTTGATCGCGGAATAAAGTTAATCTCCTGAAGCCCTTTGCCTTCAGCATCATTTATTTTCCACAAGCTGTAGACTACATTGATTAATCATGCACCTGTATAGCACATAACGCCATACCGTGCACCAAAAATTCTAAGTTTCTATAGCGAAAATAAGTCACGTTGGTCCGGGTGCCCAAAATCTCGGTTGTATAAATCACCTTCGAGCTACTAATAGGATGAACATAATTTTTTATCGTCTGCGTTTTTAAGAGAAGCTCGGTAAGTATCGCTAAGAGAAAATCAGCTTGATCAATCCCACGGCTCTCAAATCAAATAGAAAATCAATAAGTATCAATTAGTCTCTGTCACCTGCTACTGTGGCAGGAAGCATTAGTAATAAGCCAAATAATTTTTGATCTAACACAGCGGACAGAAATAAAAAATCTCCCTGTCTAAGATACCAGAGGAAGGTTAAAAGCCTGCAGACAACTCAAAAAATATACTTTTCCCAACAATTGAACTTTTCTTGTTTAAATGAAATCGATTATCAGAGAGCATTACCAAAAACAAATTATTTTTGACCTTCCAACTAAGCCATAAGTGTATAGATCAATTTTCAACTGAGCGTCGATAGTGAGTTGGGATTGCATTGGTTTTACTTTACTTCGCTCTTTGTTCAGAAAAGTCGGTCCATCCACTCAACTAAGTAGAAATGAAACTAAAGTCGATCACGACTTGATCATTTGCGCAGTTTTCTCGCACTTTAGGCAACAGGCTTTTTATTTTTAATTTTTACCTTGAATTCTCGTTGGTTTCCTGTCAAATTTATCATTTTTCTGATTAATTGATCGTTGCATTGTTATTACGTCAGTCATGGTTCAACGAAACTCGATCAAAGTGAGCTCTATTGTGACACTCAATCATGAAAACTGCAGATAGCGTTCCGCTTCGTATTTCTATCATATATATAATTATAGTTCAATAGCTCCAGTAGGGCTTTCCTATATATGCCACCATTACATACAAGACAGCCTTAAAGCTTGTAAAAAGTAACTAAGATTTCAGGTTCTTATAATCAACGATACAACGCATGATAAAATATAATCAATCGAACGACAGGCTTAATTCATCATCCAAGTCATCTTTTGCCTCTTGTTGCTGAGCTTGTTGCATGAGCTCTTCAAAGGTGGCCTCTTCTATTCTGAAAGGGAGAAGTTTCCACTTTTTCACCGTCAACCGCCGAGCCTTGGGTTCTGGAAACTGGAGAACGAAGCTGGAAATCTTGATGCACATCCACTCCATGCCATTGATAAGAACTGTCACACCCCAGTCTTCACTGCACTTTTTGCAAAATATTTTTCTGTTTATTTCTACGCCATCGAGGGCTTTAGGGTTGTGATGCTCCTCCATAACCACCTCACAATATATGAGTAAAGATACTTTAACAATCATTTGCATTTTCGGAAAGACTGGTAAAACGTATTATACATCAAAATTATTAAATTGTGAATTGCGAAAATAAAAAAGAAACTTCACTGTTTACGATAAATGGTCGAGGCTGGTTCTTAATTTGAATCCTTAGAACTGAGGTAAAAGCTTAAAGTTCCTTTTGCGAAGATGAAAAAGAAGTAGCTTCAGATTCACATGATTTTGACTTTTTTTGCGTTTTTCTTGCTCTCGAGGATAACAACAGCTATATTAACTGGACGATTCGGCCAGATCAAACGGCCTGATTGGTTCACCCTTGCAAAAAGGATTGATTCGATGCATCTTAGTCAAAAGAAAAAATGATCTTTTCAAGGCGGTCGAGAAATAGAACGTTCTCGGTGTGTCTTACCTGTGGAATCATTTTCAATCACGATGTATGTTCACTGAATTATTCCACGAACGATCGAACTTTCATTTCTTATGTTTTTCTACGATATACAAACACATTTCATTTAACAGAGCGTCTTTACCTTGGAGTCCCGGACGTCGCTACATATGATCACGTGGTACGTCTCTTTAACGCGTCGTATGTTATGGGCTTGACAAACTTCTTCAAAACACTTTCGGCAATGGAAGGTGACATCATCAGGTACAGGCTCTGAATTTTGCAACGCCATTACGCGCTTTTTCAACTGGCGATCTTGAAAGTTCTTGTCCTGTATAACTTTCACCTTCGTCAAAGTGAAAAGGAAATTATCATTGGATCAAAGTTTGACACATGTTTTAGGGCTGGACATTAATATTTCGTGATAGATCTTTTTTAAAGGAGCAGATTTTGTGAGGGGACACCTTAGACATTTAATATGGCACTAAACGTATTCCTTTAAAGACAATTCTGGTGTATGATCTACAAGAAAAGTGATCCTAGATCACAGCGTCAAAACTGCGGTAAAAGAATGAGCTCCTACATTCAATTTAAGCTATGGAATACATTCTGTTTTTCCGTTGTAGACATTACATTGATGTCCCTCTTCTTTAGGAACGAATGGTTGGAGATCGTTAGCTAGTGTTACCTATCCTCGAGTACGCTTGCTCGGTTTGGAACCCTTATCTGGTGGAGCACTTTAAGGCAATCGAAGCACTTCAGAGAAGAGCGTCCCAACTAATATGTGGCCTTGACAAAGAATGTCCTGAAAGACTTCTAGAGTTAAATTGGGTCTCTTTGGAACTGAGAAGGAAATATCTTAGCCTAGTTCAAATGTACAAGATTATATTTAGCTACTGTGATATCAACTGCCCTCAGTATTTTGATATTTCAGATAAAATGAAATATCAATAATATTTTGATATTATTGAAATAACTCGTACTAGAAGTAAGCATAAGTATAAAATAAGGCCGAAAGTTGTCCGTACAAATTATTTTATTTATTCATTCTTTCATAGACATATTAATGATTGGAACTCTTTGCCTTCTGATGTAATATCATCTCCTAGCCTCCAGTCTTAAAGTTTCACTGATTAAATACCTATGCTCATAATTTTCCTGTAATACTAGGCATAGTGTTTTTAATATAAGTTTATGCATTATTATTTTTGGAGGGTATGTCTTAGCATGGGAATTTGGTTTCCCCCTACTACCATCTACCATCCTGTTAACCATTTTTGTATTTTTGTTTGTTTATACATGTATTATTATTATTATTATTTTTGTTTTAGTATTTACTTCATTTGTATCAGTTATGTATGGTTACGAACTGTGATTAAACATTAAACATTATTATTATTATTATTATTTTTGTTTTAGTATTTACTTCATTTGTATCAGTTATGTATGGTTACGAACTGTGATTAAACATTAAACATTGGGAGGGAGGGGGATTGGAGGATTTGTAAAACTCTTATGACCCCTTCCCCCTCTCACATGCTGTTACCGTGAATCCTCTAATAAGCCCCCCCCCGGCCCGGGCACTTATTTCTTTCAGGTACTTTGGGGCGGCTTATTAGAAGGGGGGCTTAATGGAGGGGGGGCTTATTAATTTAGCCCGATGTTCACCACCAGGATACAATAGGATGTGATGCAACTTATTTATTCAAAAATCGTTCTCATTTCACATTTTTTCATTTACCAAATTGGCAGAGTCAAAATCCTCAGTAAAGAGTGATGAGTTGTATGATTTACTATAGTCCTCTTGTAAATCAGTAAAGCAGAAACACAACAAAACAGCACATTTAAGTAAAATAAACAACAATAATGAAATGCTTCATCGTACTAGTAAGGCTCGATTATTTGGAGACGAAGGGGTAAGGGGGGGAGCTTAATAGAGGGGGGCTAAATAAATTTCTTCCTCTAAAGAGGAAGACTTATTAGAGGTAAATGTCATGCTATGTTGGTAACGACTGGTACCTCTCCACCCTCCGTTCCCCCTAAAAACAATGGAATCCCCTCAAAGTCCTCCACCTTTCCCCCGCTGGCGATGAATAATTACTGGTCATTTAGTGATGAATAGACACACATACCATAACCTTTGTGATTTGCTACTTCCTCCGAAAGAGCCAATCAAGGGCACACCTTTATATCTGCCTCCCTCGGATAGGGTTTTTATCGTTAGCATACATCATATTATAGACATATGTTCGGTATTTACCTTTCTCTGAAAGTTTTTTTGATCCATTTTTTGCACCTTGCTAAGGGCTTCAACCATGAGAGATTCACGAAACTGGTTTGTGTATTCCCGTTTTAATGCTCCAGAATCTCCACTCACGAGCACGCTATACATACCCACTTCCGCCCTGGTAAAAAAACCAGCGAGTGCATAAAACAAAAGAATATCATTCAAGAACATCCCAGACGAAGGAGAAACAAATGTAGTTAAAGCTAAACGTGTTGAGTACGTGTGTAGTTCTTGTTCTGCACTAGTCAAATTCAAAATTATTGTTCATAAAGGTGAACGCCAGAGAAAAAACAGATGGAAATTGATGGGTACAATTCCTTTTTTTTAAATTTTAAGATGAACAAAGCGTTGCAGCGCAAGAGCTTGGCTTGTGTCAAAATTTCTTGCTAGCGCTTTTCCCTGCGATTGTGGTTTGCTAGGCAAGCACTATTGCATCGAACCCCTCCCATGGCATTAAATGGGGTTTCCCTGAGGGTTTCTCCCGGGCGGCGAGATAAATTCTTGCTTGTGAAACCCTAGTTCCCACCAAGGCTCGAATACAGCTCTCTTGATTCTTAGTCCAGTGCTGAAGTTATTTTACCTGACACGGCCACGTGACTGCACAGTGGAAATCTCGTTGCCCATCATATCATAACGGATCACAAAATTACAATCCATGATGTCCAAGCCTTCTTCAGCAACACTTGTTGCCAGGAGAAGATTCGTTTCTCCTTTGTGAAATCGACTGATCACTCGCTCTTGTTCATTCTGGGTCATGCCAACTAAGTATGAGAAAATAGTATATTTTGTTTTTGTTCCAGTACGATATTGTCCTGCATTCCTCAGTGATTTTCAGCAAGCAAAGCCAGCAGAGACAAAATAGCATGCAGAACTTATGGACCTGGCCTGTAGCGGGTATTTTACTCTCTTTTCAATAGTACAACTGTACAAAACTGCATAATGCATTGACGAGCACCATGAGGCCCCTTCGGGGTCGAAATAACAATTCCATCAAACGGTTATTGCATTTTCCATTGCAATATTGAATGTTTAGAATTAATTTTCCAAACGTTTAAACATTAATTTAAACAAGGCTCTTCACCAAGAGTATTATGCCTTTCATTTGATATTTTTGCTTAAAGGTATGAACTTACTGTTTCCATCTCCACTGCCCACAAGGGCTTTCGGTCTTAGAACAGCTTTCAGTTCTTCGTCTTCCTTAATCCAGTCATCAAGGGCTACCGTGGATTCTCTTGTTCTTGTAAAGACGATGCCTTTGGGACCTTTCCACTCTTTCTGTTCAACACTGCTTTTATTCGATGACTTTTCGTCTTGAAAGTTTTCTTCTGATTTATTAGCCTCTTGGCTGGGTTTTTCGTGGTTGTTTTCTTCAGCTATTCCAGATTCATCCTCTTTCTCCTCATATTCATCATCAGTAGCGCCAACATTACCAATGTCTTTAGAGACTTCATAGCTGTTTCCAACACTTTCTTCTCCATCATGTGCTACGTCGTCTAGTGATGTCCCCTCGTTTCTGTTCTCTTTCTGGCTGCCATCATCAGTAGCGCCAACAGTACCAATGTCTTTAGAGTCTTCATAGCTGTTTCCGCCATTTTCTCCTCCATCATGTGCTATGTCGTCTAGTGATGTGCCCTCGTTTCTGTTCTCTTTCTGACTGCCATCACTTGTCTCAACATCCTTTTGGCTGTTGGAGCTCGTCCTTCTCATCTTTCCTTTTTTATCGCCATCATCTCCCACTTTTGATCTTTCAGCAGCTGAACCTTTATCGTTACGTTCATTTTCTATGCCATTCTCCAGCCCGTTAGCTCCGGTTTTGTCTTCTTTCTCCATTCTCGGAGGCCTCACATCTTTATAGTGTTGCAAGAGCAAACCTTTTAGTTTCATCAAAAGTGGATTTGTGGGTTCACCATGTTCTTTCACGTGTTTATCCAACATATTCATAGCAGTTTGATAGAGATTTGTCAACTTTTCATCAACCGGTAGGAACTTTTCTCTGTCTAAGGAATCAAAATACTTTTTAAGGCATTTCCTGGCATTTTTCATGGTTGTGCTTTTGTTTATGGTCAGAGCAATATGGTACTCGCGGAGATGTTCTGCCAGCGTTATAAGGATGCGGTCTGCATCAGTAACGGAGTCTTTGTAGAACCCCTCCACCCACTGACGATACTGCTGACTTCCCTTTTCATCCGGTGGAACAGACTTCAATAGCTTTCCTTTTATTCCTTTCACTTTGGTTTCGATTTTGGTCATGATCTTCAAAATGCAGAAAAGACAGAATGAAGGTTAAAGAACTTTAACAAACGAGAAATGTTTTCAGGAATAATACAGTCAAGTACGAACGTAGCGGACATGAATCACGAATGAATACAACTTGGCCTTGACACTGAAGCAATAAAAGTCATTTTTGCGATTCTGAAAATCTTATGACGCCAATCAGTGTCATTATTATCTGATATTTACCTGTGAAACAATCTTTTCAAATGGATCTTTTCCTGTCGTAGGAACCTGGAATACTTCTCTTGTCGGAACGTTTGCATACTTTTCAAGCTCTGACTGATTCTCTTGCACCGTTGAAATTACTTCAGCGTCTAAGTTGGCAGAAACGAGAAGAATGTGTTCTTCCGCCTTTTCCACGCTCTTGGCTTTTCCTGTACCAAGTGAGGCAGTAAAACCAACAACCTAAACATCGTAGAAATAAAAGCCAAGGTAACCGCCTTAACAAAGTAATTATAAAGCGAATAAAATTACCGTTTAACTCCAGAACATTAAAGGAAAATTTCCGATGTAATCGGATTATACCTGTGGCAAAGGGCCTTGGTGTCGGGGCTGTTTTTTAAAGGCCAGATACCTCTCCATGATTCTGCTGTAAGGATGCTCCTTGTGTGCATGGTGACATTCATCAAATAGCAGAAGACTTATCTCCTCGAGATTCACCTGTTCCTCCTTATTTTTACTGTTCAGAGCATTAACAAGTATCTGCGCTGTCATGACAAAGATGCTGTGGCTTTTTAGAAGATACTTCAATGGTACCTCGGTTGCTTTTGCACCAGAAATATCAACCACGGGGTACTTGTATCCAAGGTACGCTTCGAACCGCTCCTTTTGTTGAGAGACGAGGTTCACTGTGCTCACGATGAACACCACTTTCGGCTGTTTTCTATTACTGCAGTCTGCAGCTGTTGAGGGATTCAAAAAAGGCAATGGAGCTAAAGTGCCATAAGTGATTGAGCTTACTCCGATTTCTTCAGGAGTGAGGCTGGGGGGGAGGGGAGCAAACCCTTCCCCTGCTATTTCCACACCTTCCGATGGAAGCTACGCAACCTAATTACCCAACCCAACCGTTTAACTTGGAGTACAGCGGAACCTTGAGGTAATCGCCAAGTTATTTACACTCATCGAGATTCACGGAATCCTACTAACAAAATTAGCTTTGCTTAGAGGGTTTTCTTGATCAATTTTAAGAAAGAGTTGCATAAACCACACTCAGAGTTAAATTCATCTCATAACTACCGTGTTTAGTTTGAGGCCGGCCTAATATAATTGTCGGGGCACCACTGCCACTGTATAGATAAGCGGTGAAGGCGTTTCTGGCATTCGGCCTTATTTTACGGCTGTAGTAAAAAGCGACTATAGTTGCTATTGCGACGTGTTGCTGATTTACCCTCCTAGAAGACCCAGAGACAGTCTCGATTGGGCGAAGTCAAAAGAAGTGGTGTTTAGATCAACCACCCTTATGCCAATTTGGAATGATCTGGGGCGTGTAGTCGGAAAAAGCCGACTCGGGCGTTTAATCGGAAAGATGCGCCGAATTCCTGCTTTTAAAAGAATCAGTAAACTGATGAGATCTCTGAATGGTGTTTCTTACCTTCAGTGTCCATTGAGAATGACTCAAGGTGCTTTTTAGCTATTTCTAGGGCCACATAAGTCTTTCCACTGTTGGTGGGGGCGCAGATGATGGTATTTTTGCCTTTTAACGCTGGAGCTGCCAATTCCTTCTGATATTCTCTGAGCTCCAGTTCAAAGTTAAAAGAGTTGGCATTGCTTCCCAAGAACACTATTTGAAAGAAAATTAAATCATACTGAGAGGGATCAAGTTAGCAAACTGAATTCCATAAGGGAGATTCTGTTTCTCAGCTTACTCCTCGACACTGTATCCATTAAACATTAGCGTAATAGTGAAGAATTACCGGGTGGAATGACGATTTCGTCCTCTATTTCAAACAGAGATCCATCATCTTCAGCAGCACTGCCCTCTGGATGTAAAACGAAAAAAGCATAATGGAATGAATGTGTTACTGCCTTTAATTTTCAAAAAGATTTTCAAATTCCATAAAAACGCATAATCTGATTTGGAGGTAGTGAACTTAGCTTATTTAGTAAACTAGGCGTTTCACTGTTTCCCAAAATGTTTTTTTTTTCGCCATAGGGCTTTTATAAATATTGTTTCCAAAAAGTTAAAAGATAGTTTTGAAAAATTGGCATAATTTATTCGTAGATGACGACTCTATGATGATTACTGATATCGCTTTGAATAGTTTCACTCAATATATTTGATAATGACTAATTATTACACGACTCGGGCAAACAGAGGGCACATAACAAAAAACAACCAATCAAAATGCTCTATTGCCGGTCCAATATTCTCTAAGTATTGGACCGGGCACTGTCCCGAATGGTCCCGAATGATACCGCACTTGTGCCCCTTTGAACTTCAGTCGTATAATAAATCTCTTATTAACCAAGCTTGCTCGGGACCGTACTGGAAGAATATCGGCCCTCGGTCTTTTTTGTACGGACCTCGCTGCGCTCGGTCCGTACTGTCAAGACCTCGGGCCGATATTCTCCCAGTACGGTCCTCGCGCTTGGTTAATAAGATATATATAACGGCCGTAACGTAGAATTGAACTGTTACTTTTTACTTCGTAGTGAATTAATAATAACTTGCGTTACATATTTCGAGAAGAGAATCTCGTATGATATTTCTACAACAACGCAGTAAATATCGGATTTGGAATCATTACCTTGTTTGCTACACAAACTGCTTCGCATTTGTTCATCTCTTTCCTGCTCCTCCTCGATCTCTGCCGATCAACAACAATAAAGTTGAAATGGTAAATTGGCCACCGCTCCGACGAAGGGCTAACGCGCGAAACGTCAGCTTTTATAATCGTAACGGTGGCCAATTTACCATTTCAACTTTGTTGATATATTCAAATTATTTCGTTGGTAAATTGGCTACCCCTCCGACGAAGGGCTAACGCTCGAAACGCCGTCAGCTTTTATAATCGTAACGGTGGCCAATTTACCATTTCAACTTTGTTGATATATTCAAATTATTTCGTTACCCCCACCGACGCAGCCCCAAACAGATTCTTTAGAAACTATCAGCCTTCGATCAACGACAAGGCGACAAGTTTGATCAGTACATTATCTTCATGAACACTTTTAAAACTTTCATTCATTTACCTCATGCAGCGCAAGAAGGATTCAACCCCTTAACATGCTGTTTAGATTCACGCCAATAGCTAGTGTCGCTACCCCTTTTGGTTCATCTTCTCATATTTAAAGTACTCAACATTCGATAACAAAAAGGACTCTTGTCGCTAACCTAACATTACAGTCACGAGTTTTGCCAAGAGACTTAACACGTTTTCATCCATACAACCTTAATTAACCCCATTTGGAACCTTGACCAACTGCCTAACATAGACCGGCATTGTATAACATGACGAAACCAAAAGCCATCTGTACTGAATCACTTCGAGCTGAGGTCCTATGTTAAGCAATATTCTAACTACATTGGACGAAAATAACTAGTCAGTATGGAATTCAAAAGTTTAACCAAGTGTTGTTAACTACCTTTGAGTTTCTTTTGAATTTGTTTAAACCGATCTTCGCTAAACCTGATATTTAGTTCGAGCGGCTTGTCCGGGAGCTTTTCGTGTCTTTTCAAAGTGTCTTCCACCAGGACTTCTTTTAATTTCTCCTGAAATGTTTCTTCACTGTACATTTCCCACAATTTCTCGGCTGCCTCCACAGTTGACAAGCGAAAAGTTGCAATGATGGAACCTTTAGCAGTGTTTACAAAAACAGCTCCTTGAGGAAGATGCTGAAAAAAATCCGAGACGCATAAGCACAATTGAGCTTTTCGTGTACAAGTTTTGACTAGAAACACAGTACTCATCCTCAGCAAACGCAATGTTGCGTTCATTACTGATGGGTGACTAAAAATCGCATACTTATGCATGCTTGCCATACTTGAGACAAAATGACATGACTTTAAGTGATATGACTTGCCTACCTCTAACACAACCACGATTACAGTTTGCAAACTTCTCAAAAAAGCTCTCTCCGCCGTAAAGGCAAGAGACAGAAGCCGGCTACGCACCCTTTGCTAATTTTCTAGTGAAGACTAAACCGATGAGCCTCATTTTTTTATTGTGTTAAAAGGAAAAGGAGAATAAAAAGAAAGTAGAATCACGAATTAGGACGTGTAAACAATGACTGTTTGCGAACTCGTTATTTGCCCTGCGATATACCAAAATGTTTTGAAATGTTCACTTATATTACAGGTTGTGTTCGACAAAAATTGTTCCATTCGAAGAAAATACGGAAGAATTGTTTGTCTTGTCCACTGTACGTGGAGACCATCTGATTCAGGTTTTACTCTTAATTCAGTATTTTTTATAATAAGTTACATTATCTAAAAACGTACTTTTTGGAAGTCCTTTCGCATTCGTTTGCTTTCTTCAGACGACTGTTTCATGAAAACCTCGGCCAAATACTCCTCCAGATCGAAACCGCTTTCGGTTTGTTGGTCGTCTGCACTGGTTTCAAATGATAGATTTCCTTTAAAGGAAACATCTGTTTGAAACAAATCAGTAAGAGAATAGCTCAAGGTAAGACCAGGCAATATTTTGCGGACAGTCAAAATCAATTTTTTACTGCATTGTATTTCGTGATGCGTGACTCCCAAGTTTTAAAAACGAAATTCAGAGTATCTCAGTCTAATTCAACCGCTAGGATTCAAGATCCCTGATTCCGCTACACTTCAATATTCAATAGTCCTTATGTAAACGATTTCTTAATTAAAGAACATTATCAGTCATTCAAATAATTTAGGCAATCTTAAGAATGCCCTGACTTACGGCTTGTCTGTGTAAAGGAATAGAGGAATAAGTGCGAGGCTTAACGGAAGTAATTTAAATTGCAAACGAATTGAATTGTCATAAAAAGAACAAAAACAACACAAGTGTTTCAGCTTCTTTTGGTAAATTTGATAAAAAAGCGCAAAAATATTGTGATTAAAACGTCACTTACCAATTGCTGTTCCAATCTTTTTGTAACCAACACCTGAGCCATCGGTGACAGCGACTTCATCATCCCCTGCGTTAACTGAATTTCGATAACTTTTGATGAATATTCATCATTGGCAGTGGCAAGCAAACGTTGAAAGGCAAGCGACCGCGCCGAATAACTAGTTTCATCCGGTGCAAAATATAAAATATAACCAAGCACTGGAAAGATGTGACGCACCGTTCAGCGGAAGCGGAAAGACCCTGGATACGAGTATATGTAAAAATAAGCCGAAATTCAGCATGATTCGCATGTGTACAGACATGAATTGACCGAAAATGACGAACGCTTTTTATTAGATCAGCAACAGAATTAAAGTTTAACTCAAAGTCCTTACCACCGTCAGGCGTCTCAGCTTGCCGGAATTTCCCGGTAAGCCAAAATGAATCGCTTTACACCAATGATTACTACGAGCTTGAGTAAATATGGAGTTTTTGAACGCTCACATCCAAGTGACTCATAGCAACAAGACCGCTTTGTGGAATCTAAGAACATGTAGTTAGGATTGTTTATCACGCGCCCGGGTCAGTTTGCTCGAACGAAAGTGGGATTCGTCCAACTTGAGAAGAACATATTGACACGAGTTTAAAACGAGACTGAAGATAACATTAGTGAATGAGACCATCATCCACAGACCGTCAAATAATCTTACGTCGGTTTACTTCTGTAAATCTCGATAACAAAAATAAATAAACTACTCGTTTCACCCGGCGTATTAAAACGATGCCTTTGCGGAGCTCAAACTGTCTCCGGGGAAATTTCATGCGAGCGTTATGAAGATTATTAAAATGTAATCTCGTATAGCATAAGAGCTTACTTGCCTGGATAATGGTAGAAGGGGTCCAACAACAAAGCAGTATGTTCGTTTCCACAGTTTCTCAGGGCTCGTACGAATTGCGGAAAAGCTTTGTCTCGTCTTTTTAACCGATCAACAAGAATTTGATTCGCCGTTGTTGGTCCCTTGAAGTTCTGTCTGGCCTCAATTTCTTCTCTATCTGTCTGCTGTAAACAAGGCAAATGCGGAAAAAGGTCAACCGGAATAACTTCCTCCATAAAATCTTTCAGCCGTTCCTCTAAGATCTTTTTTTCGTAGGGTTTCATTGTTGTTTGACTCGAAACTCCGTCTAAAGCGACTGACTCCTCGCAGTCAGGCTCCGTATTTATATCATCTCCGCATAATAAATTAATGAACCAGCAAAAAATAAAAAAATAAAAAAATTAAAAATACGGGGAATTCCCGGAAGCCTTGCGCAAAATTCTTGGAAAACACTACGTAAACAAAGGTACAAATTTCGCATTTCCCGTTTTTGTTCTCGGGCGTAAATAAACAGTTTCGGAGCAGCGATAGCTTTAAAACGTTTCTTTTTATTAAGTCTTGGCTTATAAAAAATCAGGGGTTATCGTATGCCATGCCTCTTTCTCCCAACTCATTTACATTGTAGCCACTGAATAGTCTTAGTTTGGTACATTCGGAAAAAGGACTTTCCCAGGTTGAATTTCATTAATATCAAATGTCTGGAAACCGCGATACGAGCTGTTTCGGTTTCGATTTTCGATCCGTTCTGTTCGAATGTTGTTACATGTCGAGAGACTGTTGAAGCAACGTCGAAAAAATTGCTCCTCTTGTGAAACGAAAAGAGTAAGCTCGTAGGTGAACTCAATATTCGGAGGTATTACCGGTTGAATAATACGTTACATAATCATTTTCAAGAGTGCAATTAACAGGGCTTTTTCCCATCGTCAATATGCTAATTCTTGACTGCATCATGTGGGATAATTTGGCAATTCTTATATACAGGAACAAATTTTGACTCTGGAATTTTCCCCCCAAAACTGATATTAGAAGTGAAGGGGAATATAAATTAAAGTTTCGTTTCCCCTTTCGATGTATTTCGATATCTATCTTGCTTTGGAAGCAAAATGAAAAAGGGGTTTCGAGAATAGCTATTTTTACTTGATAGACCTTAGGTCAGTGTCATGATCTTTTTAAATAATTTCTCATTCGGTTTCGTTATGCATATGTAGATAGTTTTCTCACACCATAAATGACCTGTACTTCTTCCATTCCTTCACAGAAATCATAGGAATGAGCGGATACTTTCACTTCTAATAGCTATGAGGTGACTTTCTTTCAGGTTAGAGACGACCATTACATATTTTCTACGAGGGAAAATATAAACACAACTTTGTTCAGACTGAGTGTTGTTTACATGTCAGACATTATGTCTTCGTTCTCTTTGCTTCTCGATATAAACAACATTCCTGAGACTAATCCACCAGAATGCAATCACCTTTTCGACATTTCGGCCAAAAAATAGAGGCAAATCTCGTATGCACATTCGTTGGAAAAATTTCTTATTCTACGGATTAATGGCGACAGGATGATTAATCTTTGCAGACTGCAGCCTTATAGCCAGATTTCAACATCTGGGTTAGCTACACATGTTGTATATCCAAGAAATCGAATCTCTGAGCAAACTCTATTTATCGCCAGCTTACGACTAGTGGCCAATTTAGCAAAAAGCTATATTTATGACGCATCTCTACAGCTTTGTCTAATACTTGTTACTTTTTAATTATGTCAAAAGCGGGTTAGTTCTTGGTAGGTGACCGTCCAACCAAAACTAACGGCTTGCGCTAATCACGCTTATCCAAGCATATTATTTGGAACAAAAAAAGAAATTGAAGCATATGAAAATAAGAGAGATGTACAAAGAAAATGTGCTCCTATTTTAAGTTTTCTGCGGTGTAAATTGTGAAAATCGTTTTTCCTTCTCAGTTTAAAGTACAAAGGATGGTCATGCAAAGTAAGCATGACATCTTTTATTTCAGTTTCAATGTCACATGTCTATTTGTAAGTCGATCCGATGAAATGAGTGAAACTGAAATAAACCCCTGACAAAATAGGTTATGGAATCGATTATCTGGTCATCACACGAAACCAATAAACCTCGAGCTACGCCTTAATATTTAAGGAAGTGTGCCATTCACTTTATGGCTTTCAGCCGTACAATAGTGTTGACAAACTAAATTATTCTCAGTCCCTTTTTCGGTTAGGACTGAGAGCGTTTGAGAACGAGAAAACTGGACAAATAATATTCCGCCTACCACCAAGGCATGTATCGATTACAGGGGAGCAGCTCCTCTTGTTGGACCTGTGAATGTGCTCAGACTTCTAATATGTCTCATGGTCAAAATCTATAACTAGAACCTTAGATTATTCGTCTATAGCTGAGGGAAAATGTGATTTAGACAATGAAGTTCAAATAAAAGACTAGGGGATGATTGTGCTTAGAATTTGAGATAACTGGTCATTCTTCTTCTTGCTGTAAAGTAACAAGTAAAAACCATACATGAAATTCAAAAGACCAAAAAAATTGCTGGTACGGAGGAAGTACATTTAAAGTTATGAACAATATTGCCGCACTAATGCATCATGTTTTTAAGAAACAGTGATAAACAATTATTATGTTTGTCATACTTTGGCCTCCCCGCCCTCGACCTGCTTCTTGAATTAGCAATAGCAATCACCATGGAGACCGGTTGTTAGTAGGGTTTTTTGAGCTCTACTTTCATTTATTACCCAGAGAGATGTTTTTTCAATCCATTCATGATCAATGCATTGTACCAAGAGATGGACAGTTTGATAAATAAAATGATAGTGAATTGAATACAAAAGGCGGTACAAAAGTGATCCTTGCAGGTAAGTTGCAATCAACGAATTGCTGTAAAGAAGTCTTCGAATTCAAAAAAAATTTAGGCTCGGACCGGAGTACGGTCAATACCTCCAAGATTTCCAAACTGCCCCTATTGTAAAACGAAGGCGTAGTCCCAAATGTAATCTATTGTTTATGAAGAATCTTCAATACCAAATGGACTATCGAGACTTGATACCCAATAAAACGCCCTTACATAGATCTGATGTGTCAAGAAAAGCATTTTGGATCTTAGATCAAACATTTAATTTTAGAAGTATAGTAAATGAGGGTCTGTGCGCACTTCACAAAAACACATACAAAATGCTTCCAATTCGCTGACTAATGATATGTTTCTATGTTTATAATGAGTCAGGAAAAAATTGTACAAAATTTTCAAAATTGTTGAATTATTAAAAATTCCAAGAATTCCAAAATTGCTGACTCATCAAAAATTCAAAATGGCGAACAAAACTGGTTCAAACCGGTTTTTAAAAATTTTAAAAATAATTAAAGAAAATTTATGTATAGAAAATTTGGAAAATAAAACTCAAAAAACACTTAAAGAAAATTCATGTACAGAAAATATGGAAAATTAAAATCACAAATCACTTGAAGAAAACTCATGTCTAGAAAATATGGAAAATAAAAATCGAAAAACACTTAAAGAAAATTTACGTATAGAAAATATGGAAGAAAATTTATCTACATCTAATATAGATATGTATAAAAACGAATTACAAAATCTGACAAAAGACCAGCTCATTGATATTATAATGAATTTGAGATCTGTTCCAAAATATCAACCAAAACCAGCACCAAGGAAAATTAAATTTACATCATCACCAAATAATGTTCGAAAGATGGTACAAGATTATGAAGAAAACATTATTGAACCACCCATAGAATTTCGAGATGATTATATACCAGTGCCTAAACCAAGAACAAAGAAGCCTGTTCCATTACCAAGAACAAGAGTTAATGAGACAAACAAAGCTTTA